CGGTTCAAGCGATTCCCCTGCCTTAGCCTCCTGAGTAGCTGGGATTACAGGCATGCGCCACTACACCCAACTAATTTTTTTTTTTTTTTTTTTTTAGCAGAGATGGGGTTTCTCCATGTTGGTCAGGCTAGACTGGAACTCCCAAACTCAGGTGATCCGTCCGCCTTGGCCTCCCAAAGTGCTGGGACTACAGGCGTGAGCCACCATGCCCAGTTAAGACAGAGTCTTACTATGTTGTCCAGGCTGATCTCGAACTTCTGGCTTCAAGTCATTCTCCTGCCTCAGCCTCCCTAAGTGCTGAGATTATAGGCTTTAGCTACCATACCCAGTCAGAAAGTGTTTTAAAACAAGATTTTGGTGATGGTGCACAACTCCATAAATTTACTAAAAATAATCAAATTATACACTTGGGCACATTTTAAGGTATTTAAATTATACCTCAATAAAACTGTTTTTAAAAGGGCTGAGATGTTGCCACACTGTCAAATCACTATCAAAGAGTTCTTAAACACACTTCATTTCTATATACTTCTCCAGTTCACAGACAGGAATAGGGTCTACAGACCACACTCTTAAGAAGCACAGCTCTGACTTCCGCTAGATATTGGCTAATAGGCTTGGAGTAATCAATAGTTTTAACTGAAACTGACTTAATTTAATTTAAGCTGTTAAAGTTTAACTCCACTAAGTATTTCATTAAATAAGGAATTTACAAGTATTACTGACAAAAGGAAAATATGAAAACATGGTCTATTGCTGAATAAAAGCATAACTCATTATAAAATAAGAGTCTACAAATGAAATATCACCAAGAACAATGACTACCATAGACCCTTTTTTTTTTTTGAGATGGAGTCTCGCTCTGTCACCCAGGCTAGAGTGCAGTGGTGTGATCTCAGCTCACTGCAACCTCCGCCTCCTGGGTTCAGGGGATTCTCCTGCCTTAGCCTCCCGAGTAGCTGGGACTACAGGCGTGTGCCACCACGCCCAGCTAATTTTTTTATTTTTAGTAGAGATGGGGTTTCACCATCTTGGCCAGGCTGGTCTCGAACTCCTGACCTTGTGATCCACCTACCTTGGCCTCCCAAAGTGCTGGAATTACAGACGGGAGCCACCGCACCTGGCCGACCCTTCTTTTTAATGTAGTATAATCAAGTAGATAAAGTCAGTATATTTACAGATTAGACTACTAAAACCCAAAGCAATGAAACTTTAAACATAAATGAATAAATGGAATATTGTAATATTATATATTTCATGGGACCAAATATCAGACATGCAAATGAATTACATGAATAGATTTGTTTCAGAGAAAGTCCCAACAACATGTAAGCTTTACTTTGTTTCCAATTAAGTGTAAATCTAGGCTAAGTTCAACCAAAACTGGTAAGCACTTAGTGTCTATGTTATAGTCTAAAATTTAAATTCATTTTATAGTAATATTTAAATTCATTTTATAGTAATTAGATACCAGTTACAAAAAGCAACTGATGGGGACAGGAGGCAAAGAAATTCTAGGCAGAAAAGGGTGGGTCACCGGTGAAAACCCCACCCTCAAGCCAAAATGCCTGAAACCTCGGCCCAAAGTGAGAACTTATATCCCTGTTTTCCTGTTTGAATGTTTTCCTAAACCACCCATGGCCTTGCCTTGCCCCATTCTGTGCCTATGAAGACCCCAGACTCAGCCAGCAGAGAGAACCAGCTGGACGTCAGGATGTTGGAGAGAAGCGGGTTGACTTTAGAGGGACAGCTTGATGGTGTAACTTTGGAGAAAAATTTAGCTGGAGACAGCTGGACTTCAGGGAAAGATTACCTACCCCCACCCCACCAGCCCCTTTTCAGCTCCCCTTCCTGCTAAAAGCCACTTTCATCAGCAATAAAATCTCCTGCATTTACCATCCTTCAATTCATTCGTGTGACCTCATTTTTCCTGGATGCCAGACAAGAGCTCAGGAGCCACGAGTGCTGATACAAAAGGCTGTCACACTGGCCCTTTGCCCTTGCTGGCAGAGGGCAGCCACCCCACACAACGGGGCAAAGGGCCCACTGAGCTGTTAACACTTAAGCCGTCCACAGATGGCAGAGCGAAAAGAACACTATAACATGCCCTCTGGAGCCTTGGGAGTCACAGGCACCCCACAGCCTGGACGCTGCCACAGCAGCCAGCTGGTTGCAGCACTTAAGCCCTCCAGTTCCTGCCTTGTTCACCCACACTCTCCTTCCCATGAGGAGTTGAGAGAGGCAGGCTGAGCAAAGGAGAGACTCCTGCAAAGGGGTCAGGGAAATACCCTGCTTCACAATGATACTTTTTTTACAGCTCTGGCAAAACACAGACATGAAATAAAGACTCTCTCATTTTAAAAAGGTCAAAGCAATTTGCTGAAGTTAACTTTTTTATAGGAAAAATTAAATGCTCAACTTTTCCAGAACCCTATTTTTACTATACCATTTCTCATTTGCAGGGCAAAAACAGATGCTCAATGTTTCAAGCATAACTGGGAAAAAAACAAACTGAATTATAACAACTAAGAAAAAACAAACTTTAGTTATAAAAAAAAACTTTTCCGTTGGTAAATTTCATTCCACAGAACAGTTCAGCTTTAGTAATCTAAGCATTCCCTAGAGCTCAGATTCTTCCTATAGATTTACTACACAATGAAACTACAACTTTCGAAACCACAAATCTGGTTTATTTACTTTCTTATGAGGTTTTTGAATTACCAAGTCAAAATCAGCTTTAAAAGCATTTTCTTCATATTTAACATGTGAGACCTGGATCTATGAAGCTTTGTTTTGAATTAAAGAACATTAACTTTGAACTGGAAATTAAATTGAATGAGGGGAAAATGCCAGGATATCTATGATCATTCTTTTAATCAATACATACCAGTTACGTACAATAGTTCTAGTGCTATTGTTCACTTTGTCCCTTTAAATTTTTGCAGCTTTCTAGAAAAGTAGAAAAAGGTTTTGCAGAATCTTTGTTGTCCTTCCCTCCATTATAACTACCCTTCTATTTCCTGACTCTTTGCACCCTGTATTTCACTTTAGATAAGAAGCTAGAGGAATAATCCTGGAAGGAAAGCTAAAGAAGGAAACAAAAACCAGAAGCATTTACTCTTGCTCCACTGCCTTTCTCTAGAAAAATGTCAACTCAAACAACATAGAACATCCTGCAACAAGCTAGCCCTCTTACCACATCTCCGTAACATATGTTCAGTATTCAAAAATGCATCTTCAAGATAGTAAGTATACCACAATTTGATAAGTTTGTGTGAGTAAAAAAGCTATTGTTATATGAATTAATTCTCAGACTGGTAATACACAAAGCTGTAATCTAATATCCATATATACTTGTAAAACCATTCAAAACACATTAGGACAGTTTTTAAATATACAGCTATAAATGGGGATCATTACAACTATGCTTTTAACAATTTATGCCCACATGTATCTTACCCTTCTGGCTCTGTTTCCTGGACATTGCCGTTTCTTCAGTCCCAAAAAATATACAAGAAAAGTATCCTTTTGCCTTGTCTGGATTTTGAGTGTCGGTATCTCTGATTTAAAAGTGGGCAATGGAAGTGTGTAGTTGGAAGCAAAAAATACGAAATCCTGCTGTTGGAAATTCTGCTCACTAGCTGTCAATTTCCTTTCCTTTTCTTGTATCGACTTCTTATCAGGAAGTATCATTGCAGATATTCATGTCTTCTTTTCCAGGGAGATTCTGGAGGGAAAAACACACACATATACTATTACAGTAATGACTATCTGTACAAAATTTCTGAGATATCCACAAGGTTTCTTTTGTATTTCTCTGTACAAAACTAGTTTTAAGTACTATAGAAACAATGTAGCTGCTGAAAAGCAGAATTTTTCTTAAGAAAACTTAATCTTAGAATCAGATTATCCCCTTAGTTTAGAAAGTATGTTCTCTTAGTCTTCTTATCTTTTGTATCCATCTGAAATATCCCCATCTCTGCTTCGCAAACTAAAATGTTACCTCTTACCACTCCCCAAGATCTTTCTTTTTTTTTTTTTTGAGATGAAGTCTTGCTCTGTCGCCAGGCTGGAGTACAGTGGCGTGATCTTGTCTCACTGCAACCTCTGCCTCCCAGGTTCAGGTGATTCTCCTGCCTCAGCCTCCCGAGTAGCTGGGACTACAGGCGTGCGACACCACACCCAGCTAATTTTTGTATTTTTAGTAGATTTTCACCATATTGATCAGGATGGTCTCTTATCTCTTCACCTCGTGATCCATCTGCTTTGGCCTCCCAGAGTTCTGGGATTATAGGCATGAGCCATCTGATCTTCCCATCCAAATCAAGGGTCTATTCTCTTCCTCTAGAATTTCTTTTTGTTTTGTTTTTTGTTTGAGATGGAGTTTCGCTCTTGTTGCCCAGGCTGGAGTGCAATGGTGTGATCTCGGCTCACTGCA